CTATCACTTTATAAATTATATTTTCACCATTATTTATTTACGATTACGAGGTCTTTGCAACACAAAGGAAACCAAGGGCAATTTGCATACATCACACAACCACAATTCACACACATAAAGAGTAGTGACTGGTCAATTTGGGTGGAGGATTTGCTGAGGTAAGAAAGAGGAAGGGAGGACCCCGGGTGGACAGGAGGAGGAAGAGGAAGACGATGGGGAAAGAGGAAGAAAAAGTGCTTTGTAAACAGCAAGAGTTAAATCTGCTGACACTGGCAGACGGCAGCATTTAGCTCGGCTCTTGTTGTTAACATGAGTGTGAAATGATACAACCAAGAATTAGGTCCGCTAGTACAGGTGAAACCATTTGATAAACTTGGGGTCACAGGATGTATTCCTTTTCAGTTACATAAACAAATATGGAACCAGATTGCTTTTACATTTATACAAATTGGGGATTACTAGCAGGATTTCAATGTTACTTAAAAACTAAAAAGAGTATAGTGTTTGTTGTGAAATATCAGATCTGTAAGCTGTACTGTCCTGTAGGCTAATACTTTAAGTGTGAATCTATACGCCTGCATCTGCTTTATGATTTTCACTTTCTTTGGTTCATTAGTTCTGTTTTTAATTCAGTAGGTGAACCTATATGTTCATAAAATAGTGTGTGTGAGCTTAAACTAAAACGGAGCATTTTCTGTCAGCTCAGATTTTATTTCTGCTTTTTTAAACTGTAGTATGTGCTCATGTGTTTCATTGTTGGTGTTTGGGCTGCTGCCTGAATATGCTTCATGAAAGGCAGGTTTTCATATCAATCAAATAATTTCTGATCCTAAATATCTTGGTGTCTTCCTTTCAAAAGGTCACATTGTTCTGTTGTCCTACACAATACACATATGTTTAAAACACCGTAGTGATATTTCCTTTTTCTTGTATTTTTTGCATTGCTTTGATATGAAGGCAATTCCAAAGTAATGGAGGGTAATCCAGTTACATTACTTTTATATTTTGATACTCAGATTAGGTTAAAGATTACATGTTGTTATGGTTAACTAGTAATTGTAACAGAATACATTCTTAATGTAACCTTCCTAACCCTGGTTTTTGTGTAATCGCCAAGTAATCCACTTAATATCCAAAGACCTCAAAACCAGCCTTATCCCAAGAACAAATCAACGAAAACTATTAATCAATTTCTTCCTTCTGACCGATGGCTTCTTCTTTGCCAAGCGATACATATAGATTAAAGCCACATAGCTTCCTGTTGAGTCAAAGTGAATTTGAGGGCTGATGACTCAGTTATCCTCAATCGCTCGCTGAGGTTCATTCAGTGGCTCCTTGGGGGATTCAGGGATTCAGACAGGGCAGTAGTGTTTTTTGGCGCAGGTTGTAGTGACCCACATATATCAGAGTGAGCTGGATAGCATAAATAAGAGGGCCATTAGGAGCCACATGAATAATAGATGAAAACATGGAAAGTGAAGTCTTTAAAGTGGGATTCCTTGAACATTGTTTACCCAAGTTAATTCTGTATTGTGTGTTTGAGTAGTGACTGAGAGAACAAACGAGAACAAGATAGAGAATAAAGATTTTTAAACGAGGTCTGTCATCAGTCTTGGTCTTTGGTGATATTGTTGTTGAAGTGTTGAAAGATATAGCAGATTTATTTTTAGAAGAGCTGGCCATGACGATGCTAATTCTGGGAAACTCAGCTAAAACAGCACCTTTTTTCAGTTCTCCCTTTCCTGTATGTTATTTAGGTTTGTGTGCATACGGTCTACAAAGTTCCCTCCCACTCACCCCTCCTACATGAAACTCCTCCATTGGACTCCTTTGTTTACTTTCGTAACATAGTGACATCACTATGTTACACTCACTGCAACACATTGTACGTGATAGGCTAAGAGGCGGGACATCTTGATCAATAACAGAGCCGGCCAGCTAACCAATCAGAGCAGACTGGGCTCTGGTTTCAGACAGAGGGTGAAAAGAGGTGCTGCAGCACAGGTAGTATGAGAAGAATAAAGAGCTTTTTGAACATCAAAGCATGGAGACATGTCCCAGTAGAGACACAAATTATAAATATGAACCCTAAAATGAGCTTAACATATCCTCTTAAAGTATCTGTCAAGGCTACTTTAACATTTAGACTGTACCGTTGGTCTGAACTGCTTATTGAGGTTGTAAATCAAGTGGGCTAAGTAGGGTCCTTTTCTCATAGACTTCTATACAATCTAACTCCATGCTGGCAGTTTGAATGAATGCAGGTTTACTTCACTTTCAAACCCTGAACCTCAATGCAAAGTCGTCCACCCTAAAACACTACTACTGCTAATTATAGACCATTACTGCAGGACATACTTACTTAACAAGAATCAATTGAAATGTGACATTTTACCAATACAAATGTGCAGGAACAACTCTCACTATGCACCTACATCCTGAACTCTGTTAAAGAACACTACAGATGCTGTGTCATGGCTGCTGATGTTGCCATGCAACCAACCCACCCACATCGTTTTCAGAGAGATGGACATCATTACAAGTTTATTATCATCACAAAATGGTTGTTTTTGGCAGAAAAACTGTTTCCTATAAGCACAAACTCTTGATGTATGACCATAAGCAGGAACTCTTGATTTATGATCTGCATGGCTCCCATTACACAGCTCCCAGAAGAATCTCCTCCAAAATACAGATGAATTGCCTGCGTAAAAGGAGCTGCTATGTGCTATCACAGAACAATAAATACAAAATATTTTCATCTTCAGTCCAGATACTGTAGAGAAAAGTGTGACACCCATGCTATACTCAGGGCAGGCTGACATTTTCCAGACTTATTTGAAATATTTGAATGGGTTGTCACCCGAGGACATCATTCCTATCGCACAAGTTCAATATTTTTCTTGTAATGTCGGAAAATACTGAACAATTCTCTTCATTGTTTCCCAAGGTGATGTCATAAAGCTGCTTTTAAACCTAAACATATCCAGTTTACTATTACATACACCTTACTTAAGATAACAGTGAACATATAATCCCCTAGTTTATTTGTTTATGTAAATATGTGTATGCTGCATTGTCGGAGGAGCCTAAGTGATAGTGATCGCCAACAACTATTCTTTAGCGTTTCATATTGTTTCATAAATAGGTCAAGGGCATTTATTTTAATACAAAAAATAGGGATAATAAAAAAAGTATTCATCCGTCATTCCGATTATCCATTAAAACCCTCAAAATTATTTTATATCATTGATCAAAAGACACATGTGGTGGAGGGTATGAGTACATGCAGTTCACAACTATACAATAAGTTGAATTGATGTTATTGGTTAAGTTCATGTTCTTATATTGTGATAATACAGATTCATTTTTGAATGTTGAGAGTTGTTCACACCGCCCCTTCCCTTAACAAGATCACAAGGTTTTTCAATAATCAAGCCTCTTAATTTTGCTCTCAAACTTATTGATGCATTTAACGTTGAATATTTCAAACAAATCTTCCTGGGAACCCCCAATTCCTGCGCCTGGCCACCAATATTCCTGGATCCTAACAAAACTCCTCTCTGGAACTACGATGGTTGGGCATTCTAGCTTGAAAATAAAATGGATGAATTGACTATCTAAGTAGTTACTGGTCAAGTGTTAATTTATCAATGAATCCATGCATTATTTCAGCCCTGATGTATTGACTTCACAACTAGTGACAGCCTAAACAACTAAAAAAGAAAACCCACAATATCCTTCGTTTTGTAGTGAAATCCTTCTTACCCAAAACAAGTAAATTCACTCAAATGTAATTGAATCCATATAATACTGTTCAGATTTACTATTGGAAATATTTCATCTATGTCTGCTGGATTGGTATTGACTCCAGGATCATTCTCATGTATCACTTTCTCCTGCTCCCACATGCTTCACAGAAAGCCAATAATCTCTCCTTATGGAACAATAAGAGCGGAGCACATGACCTCCATTTGGGGTCATCGGCTAGTGAGGTAATAAAATGTGCAGTGTGGAAGAGAGCCGCATTATCTTTCATATTCAGGTTGGAACAGACAAAGGGAGAGGAATGACAGGCAGATATGACAGGCAGATATGACAGACCCTGAATCAGAACATGTTGGATGGACGAGTGATCCGTGCGTTTAGCATGCTGGAGACATCAAGCAGCAGAACCACAGACAGACAGACAGACAGACAGACAGACAGACAGACAGACAGACAGACAGACAGACAGACAGACAGACAGACAGACAGACAGACAGACAGACAGACAGACAGACAGACAGACAGACAGACAGAGAGACAGACAGAGAGACAGTCTGACGGCTGCTCGGCTTCTCACGCCTTCATGTTTTCCTGCCAGATCAGCCTGACAGAAAATCAATGACGCTGCACTCTCACGGAGACGCACAGTAACCAGTGAAAGGAGCGAGGAGGAGAGGCGGAATGTGTAATAATCATGTCTGCACCTTCCCTCATACACAACAAGGTGATTGTAATATATGCATCTGATGTACGTAACGGAATGTGTGAAAAACATCTACCCTAAAGTATACAGGCCTCTGTAGCCTAATATGCCAATTTGCTCCACAAAGATAGGTTCCTGATTAAGACACGTTAATAGGATCCTGCAGGCTTATTAACACACACCCCGAAATGATGAGCAACATTAATAGCCAGACACATTGAGAACCCCTTTGTGAGCTGGTTGTGCACGAACTGGGAAATGGGGGTGCGCATCACGTCAAATATGTCCGATAATGGGTGCATACGGGTTTACATGCGCAGCCAATATTAGGGAGGCGGGTTTCGCACCAACAACCGCCGCATTTCTCCATCTTAATATTAAATGAAAGGGAAATTAGTAGTCTAGATGTGTGTGTCAGGATACACTTGGAATAGAGACAGCTATTGGTTATGATTATAATGTTTTATTATGATTCTCAGGGACGCACGTGTGATTCGCCACCATCCCAGTGAAATAAGCTTTTATTTACCTTCATGTCGTTGACAATCGCCTGGAATAAACCCCCGAGGGCCCCGCATTCCTTCTCCACGGTCTCCATGTTTGCCAAATCCACCATTCAACGGAATTTGCAAAGCGCGCACCGACAGCGCGCTACCAACACTAGGCAGGAAAAAAGAAAATGCACAAAAAAAGAAAATGTATTTCCACAAGCTGGCTCTCCAATTTCTCCTGCAAACCGACAATAACGGAGGGGATGCAGCAAATGGAGGAGGAGGAGGAAGAAGAGGAGGGGTGAGAAAAAAGGAAAAGATGCCGAAAGATATGCGGTGCTTCCAAGCAAACGGAAGATGGATTGTGAGAGAGGAAAGACGGTCTCTTTCTCTGTCTGTCTGTCTGTCTGTCTGTCTGTCTGGATGTCTCTCTCCGCGGCTCCGGGTCAGGCAGGCGGTGTTCAGATGGTACCGGGAAGACCGCTCATCTTGGCGCAGCCAGCGCTACGCGGAGTCGGTGGGGACGCATGTGCAGGCAGCGGAGAACCGGGAGCGGTGGATCGCCGTGTGTGTCACTCAGTACTCAGGGTCTGAGCCCGTGCGTGTGTGCATGTGCGCGTAGGTGAAGGCAGGCTGTGATTGGCGCAGAGGTGGTGGGCTCAGCGGTGCGGAGAGCAGCCAGTAACACGATCTAGGCAACTGCAAGGGAGTCACACAAAAAAAAGGAGGCTGGACAACTCTGGACCCCCTGTCACATGGCACCACGCACGCTCAGACACACGCACATACACACTGTAGACCACCAGAAAAAAAATGTCAGCAGGGGGGAAATGTCACATAGCTTTAGCTGCCACAAGAGTGTGTGCATGTGTGTGGGAATGTGTCCCCATATTATGGAAGCCTGTTTGCGCCACAGGAAAACAAATACAGTCAATATATTGACTAAGCTATCTCAATGTATTGACTTAGCTATCTCATTATATTGAGTTATATATTTTTTTTATTGAAACAATTATGTCAAATACAGAATAAGGCATAGACATCAATGATATTCATCATAATTATAAGGGGTACTGTCACGATTCTCATGTTATGTCACGTTTGTAGTTTTGTATGTTTGGGTTTATTTTGCTGTTCGGTTCTCCCTGTCATGTTTTCTTCCTGGGTTATTGTCTGGTCCTTCTTCCTGTGTTTTTCCTCCCGTCGTTAGTTTCCCTGGTGTGTCTAGTTGTCTGATTGTGTTCACCTGTGGCCCTTGTGTTTCTCCTCCCCTGCCCGGCTGTTTCTCGTCTTGTGATTACCCCTCCCTGTATTTAGTCTTGTCTCTTCCTGTGTTCAGTGTTGGTGAGTTATTTTTTCATTATCCTTGAAATAAAGGTTAATCTGAGTTATCTGCATTTGGGTCCTGCTTCCTTCACTCAACCGTAACAGTACGAACCAACCACATATGGACCCAGCAGATGATCCATTTGAAGTGGAGTTATATTCATTTACCTATACTTGCTGGCTTGCAGCTATGGTGAATGGAGAGGAGCAACCAGTGCGGAGCAAAAGAGGGCTGCCCTGGCAGAGGCGTACCAGAGGGCAACAGAGAAACCAGGGTTAGTGAAGTTCTTACCTGGCTGGATTATGGACTTCCTCCAGACATGCGTTTCCCGGCCTACTAGCCCCAGGCATGCTAACCCCCTGCCTGCCACAGTTCCCAACATAGCTTCTTTCGAGAACGCTTTTGATGGGTCTCGTCTGGCTTTTGGAGGTCCACGGAGCCTCCAAAAGGCTCCCAAGAGAAGGAGACCCAGGTCCAGGCTACCAGCCGAGCCCCTGCAGCCATGTTTCTGGCACCGGCCCCGGCAGCCATGTTTCTGGCTCCAGCACCAGCCCCAGCAACCATGGTTCCGGCCCCGGTTCTGGCCCCAGCGGCCATGGTTTCAGCTCCAGTACTGGCTCTCCGGCCGACGCCAGCTCCCCGTGTCCTGTCGGCGTACCGGCCGACTCCAGCTCCTCGTCTCCTGTTGGCTCTCCGGCCGACGCCAGCTCCCTGTGTCATGTCTGTGGTTCGGCCCACTCCAGTCCCTCGTGTCCTGTCGGTGTTCCGGCCGACCGCCAGCTCCCCGTGTCCTGTCGGCGTACCGACCGACAAAAGTCCTCTCTCAAGTTTCCTCTCGAGTCCCCTCTCAGGTCCCCTCTCGAGTCTCCTCTCGGGTCCCCTCTCGAGTCTCTTCTCGAGTCCCCTCTCGGGTCCCCTCTCGAGTTCCCTCTCAAATCTCCTCTCAAGTTCCTTCTTGAGTTCAGCCGAAAGCTCTTCTGCCGAGGGTCCTGCCAACCCTGTGTCCTGTGCCGTTGGAGGTCCCGCCGACTGCTCTCCTACCGGGGGTCCTGCCAACTCCATGTCCTGTCCCGTTGGGGGCCCCGCCGACAACTCTTCTGCCGGGGGTCCTGTCAACCCCTTGTCCTGTTCCGTCGGAGGCCCCGCCCATCACCTGTCTCGCCGGGGTCCTGCCAGCTCCTTGTCCTCTTCCGTGGGGGATCTTGCCGACACCTGTCCCACCGGCTCCGGTTCCTGTCCGGCCGACACCGGGTCCTGCCCGGCCTCCGGAGCTGTCCGGTCTTCGCCCTCGAGCCCGGCCCCCTGAGAGCTGTGGTCTTCGCCCTCGAGCCCGGCCCCTTGAGTGCCGCGGTCTTCGCCCTCGAGTCCGGCTCCCTGACTTTCCCGGCCGCGGTTCTCGCCCTCGGGCCCGGCCCCCTGACTCTTCCTGCTGCGGTCTTCGCCCTCGAGCCCGGCCCCATGACTCTTCCTGCCGTTGCCTTCGCCCTCATGCTCGGCCTCCTGAGTTTTCCCGCTGTGGCCCTTGCCCCTCCTCGAACTCTGCCTTGCCCCCGGGCCGTCCGCCTGAGATTCCCACAGTGAACTCTGCCTTGCCCCCGGGCCATCCGCCCGAGACCCCTTCCTGGTCCTCTGCTGTGACCCTGGGTTATCAGCTCAATCCCGTCCTCCTGACCCCCTCCACCCACCCTGGTGGCCCTAGTGATCCCTAAAAACATACTATGACGGTTTTGAAGCTTATGTAACTCCGAAAGCAAATCCCATATTTGCGTGCTATACATTTCATGAAAATATCCAAGGAGACCGTGAGAGTTTTGACCAGTTTGTAACGGAGCTAAAATTGCTAAGTAAAGACTGCAACTACCCAAACAGTGAGGAAATGATTAGAGACAGGATTGTCTTTGCTACAAACTCACAAAGAGTGCGCGAAAAACTGCTATGTCACGGTCCAGACTTGACGCTAGAGAAAGCCATTGACATTGCACGTTCACATGAGCTATCACAGCAGCAGCTAAAGACAATGCTAACCCCTGCTGCTAGCCACGACAGTCGCTCTGCTCACGCGGTTAGCAGAAAACCTTTTAGAGCAGACCAAGCATCCCGTGGGCACAAGACGACATGGAATGATCGTAACAGCGCCGTGAGGAGCAAGGAATGTGGAGCATGCGGGAGGGAGCACAGTCGCACTGAGGAATGTCCAGCAAAGGGTCGCCAATGCAGCAAATGCAAGAAGCCCAACCACTTTGCTAAAATGTGTAGGTCACAAACACAGCAGCCACAGACGAGATATAATCCCAGAAAATTGCATACCATCTCAAACAGTGCAGAACAGTCACTAGAATAACTCTATATTGATGCTATCATAAAAGAGCATGAAAACACAGATAGAGAACAGGCATATGCAGAAATAGGAAAAGCGAGGAACAAACTGAAGTTTAAAATGGACACTGGTGCTCAGACTAGTATTATACCAGCAGACACATTCCGCAAGATGTATGGAAGTGTAATACTAGGCCCCCCATCAAGCAAACTCTCAGATTATGGTGGGCACAGGATAAAAGCAGAAGGAACATGTCGACTGACATGTAAACACGGTGAGAAAACAGCCAAGGTAGGTTTTGACATAGTCCATACAAATCTCCACCTCTGTTAGGCTTAAGGGCATGTCTAGATTTAAACCTAGTCAAAATGATACATGTAGTTGATGCAAAGCCGATAACACACACAACCATGATGGAAGAGTTTGCTCATGTGTTTAAAGGCATCGGACTGTTTCCTGCAGAATGCAGTTTCCAACTCAAACCCTCTGTACCACCAGTGGCATGTCCACCTCGACGCATCCCATATTCTCTGCATGACCGGCTCAAGGATGAGTTGGACGACATGGAAAAACTGGACGTTATCCAAAAGATCACAGAGCCAACTGAATGGGTTAATGCACTAGTAGTGTTGGAAAAGCCGAAAACAAATAGGCTGAGAATATGCCTAGACCCCCGCACCCTGAACAAAGCTATCCAAAGACCCCACTATCCACTCCCTACTCTAGATGACGTCACACCAAAACTGGCTGGAGCACAGTATTTCAGTGTACTAGACGCCAGATCTGGATACTGGAATATAAAGCTCACACACGACTCATCTATGCTAACCACGTTCAACACAATCTACGGCAGGTACCGTTTCAAGAGACTGCCTTTTGGAATCATATCTGCACAGGATGAGTTCCAGAGGAGAGTGGATGAGGCCTATGAGGGGCTTCCAGGCGTTGCCGCCATCGTAGATGACATCATAGTCTACGGCCGCACCAAAGAGGAGCACGACGCCAGCCTGCATGCCATGCTAGAGAGAACCAGAGAAAAAGGCATAAAGCTGAATAAGGACAAGTGCAAAATCTGTGTGCCTGAGGTAAGCTATTTTGGGCACAAGCTGACAAGAGAAGGCATCCGCCCTGACCCGAACAAGATTAAGGCCATCAAAGAAATGCCTAACCCACAAAGCAAGGCAGAGTTGGAGACCATACTGGGCATGGTCACTTACCTTTCCAGGTTCGCCCCGAGAATGTCAGAGGCAACAGCTCCACTCCGGCAACTGTTAAAGGAAAACAGTGAGTTTGTGTGGGACTCAAATCATGATGCAGCCTTTCAACGAGTAAAAGACATCCTAAGACAGGAGCCTGGCCCAGTACCCACCTACTTCGATCACACAAAGGATGTGAAGTTACAAGTCGATGCTTCCAAACACGGCTTTGGAGCTGTCCTGCTCCAGGAAGAGAAACCAGTCGCATACGCATCAAAGACACTGACTGAAACTGAAGAGAACTATGCTCAGATCGAAAAGGAGCTATATGCAGTGCTCTTTGGATGTAGGCGGTTTCACCAATACCTGTACGGACGACAGGTGATCGTCAGATCATAAGCCACTTGAGTCAATCAGCAGCTGCACCACCACGTCTGCAACGCATGATACTACAGCTACAGAGATATGACATCACTATCGAGCACAAACCAGGAAAACAAATCCCTGTCGCAGACACTCTATCCAGAAAGCCACTTGAGTGTTACGACCGCTCCATCAGTGAGGGCATGGACTACCAAATACACACTGTGATCAGCAACGCTCCGGTAAGCGACCGCAAAATGGCAGAGATCAGAGCCACTACAGCCAAAGATGAGCAGCTCTCAGTGCTGAGACAGGTGATCCAAGCAGGGTGGCCTGAGAAAAACAAAACATGTCCACCTGCAGTCTCAGAGTATTGGAATCATAGGGATGATATATCTGAGAGAGATGGCATCCTACTGAAAGGAGAGAAAATCATCGTGCCGCACTCACTCAGGGCTGAAATGCATTCACACAGG